TGAAAATAGCAAAATGGAAAATGGTTTATAGGCTATGAAAGTAACTGTGTAGACACACACACAGACACACACACACACACACACACACACACACACACACAGGCATGCACGCGCACACGGCCAATCCCAGGAGTGGACAGTGGGGGGCGCACAGGAGGGTTCACCTGAGCCCTGTCTCTGTTTCTGTTTTCCCATAGATGTGGATGAGTGTGAGCGAGAGGATAACGCAGGTTGTGTGCATGACTGCGTCAACATCCCTGGCAATTACCGATGCACCTGCTATGATGGATTCCACTTGGCGCACGATGGGCACAACTGTCTGGGTGAGCAAGGGAGAATGTGGGAAGGTGGTGTCTTATGCAGAGGGAGGTGTTTTCAGTATTTCCCATTTCCCAGGCAAGAAGGGAAAAGTGATCAAAAAGAGCTGCATTTCCACAAAAAAAAGAACAGGGTCAGTCCCCTTTGAGACTGGCCACTAAGGACGAAATCATCCTGCTACTGGATGGAAAGCATCAGAGGAGATGCTGCTGGAAAGTGCTCCTTGGGTGAGGGTCAGGAGCTGAGAATAAGTGTGTTTAGCCACAGCAGGGTGAAGCATGAGGGAAGACACTTTGACTCCAGACAGACCCCAGCTCAGCTGCTTACAGCTGTGAGGCCTTGGGCAAATCAGCTAATCTCTGGGAATCTCAGTTTCCTCATCTCTAAAATAGGGATGATAATGAGTCCCTGGGTGGTGCAAACAGTTAATGTACTTGGCTACTAACCAAAAGGCTGGAGGTTTGAGTCCACCAGAGGCAACTTTGAAGAACGGTCTGGCAATCTGCTCCCAAAAAATCAGTCATTGAAAACCCTATAGAGTACAGTTCTACTCTGACACACATGAGGTCACCATGAGCTGGAATTCACTCCATGGCAACTGGTTTTTAATGTGCCCTCAAAGGGCTACCAGATGGATTACCATAGAGAACATGTGGAAGGCCTGTGTACACTCCTTAGCAGATAGTGGGTACTCAATAAATGGGAGGAATGTCGATGATGATGGTGCTTCCCTTGTGTCCTGGGGAAACTCTGGCCCTTCCAGGCTGGTTCTCCCCCAGTTTTCCCTGCAATCTCCAGTCTCATCCTCACCTCACTTCTGAGGCCTCAATCAAACTTGATCCCCGTCATCCCAAGAGCTGAATCAGACAAAGAAGAATCTCTAGGGAATTGAACTGAATTTTCTCTGCCAATTTGGAAAATTACTGGGACCAAGTCAGACTCTTCTCTAAGTAGAAAAACTGAAACTCATAGCAGAAAAGGATTTCAGATTTGAAGCCAGGGATCCTTTTCCAAAATCTTACTTCTGTTGCCAAAACAAAAATAGGGGACTGGAAGAATAGAAGATAGGAGTGATGCCCAGAAAGCAGTTACCTGACCAAACAGATCCATTTTTTGAGGTCCCATTGGCCCAGGAGAACCTCCTTACTACAGAGCTGCCTCTAAACCCAATCACACCCCACCCCTGGACCAGGCTATAGGTTTCCACTCCCAACCCAGGCCTGTAAGCCCTGGTTCCTCTGGGCCCTTCCCCCCAGCCCTGGCCACCTCTCCTACCACTCTGGCTACTAGGAAGGGCGTTACTCCTCACCTGCCCAGTCACCCTTGAGGGCCTCTTTTGGGACTCCTTTGGGAAGAGAAGCTGCAACATTTGGACCAGGACAGTGAGTTGCCTACAAGACTGAGAACATGAGTTCCTCAGTTCTTTACCTGCCTTTCACCTTTCTAGGCCCTTGATTCTCATCAAGCCTTGTTTCCCTAAACATGTTTTTGGAAGAACTATACCAGAAGGATAACAGAATGAGTAGGTAGAGAAGGGGTCAGGAGGAGGAAATGTCAGAGCCTTAAGGGTTCAGGCTCAAAGACTCAACCCTACCCTTGGCTCTTAGCAGAGCTCTGAGAAAGCTGTCCATGCTCTGCCTCAGTTTCCCCACTGAAAATAGGAGGAAAGAATTTTGATAGGGTAGTAAAGCCACAAGACTGGAACAGAAGATAGCAAACAGCAGAAGGATGGAATGTAGGGTAGAGCAAGAGCAGAAGGATGGGACTGGGGAGAAGTCAGGGGTGTAGTTAGAGATAGGGCAGAGGCAGGTGCACTGTGCCAGACAGGAGCCACTTGGATCTAGGCCCCTCTGCCCTTGGCCAGGAAGGGGAAAGATGGGGTTAGGCCCTCAGCAGAATAGGAAGGGAGGGGCAGGTGGGGCCCTCAGGAACCCAGATTCCAGCTGTTCCATTGGGGGACCAATATCTCGCTCATGCTTCCTGGGCCAGGGCCAATGGAGGAGAGCTGTGGACCTGGGAGGGCAGTAGCTAGCATAGAGACAGAGTCAAGGCGTTCCAGTGGGAGCCCCAAGATGAGCTTGGCTCTGGGGTCTGGAGGTGGTGATTTTGGGGGGAGAGCCTACTGCTCCCCCTCCCCCATCTGGGGTGTGGCCTGGCAGCTCTCCCCCATCCCTCTCCGCCAAGCTGCCAGACTTTGTTTTGTTAAACCAAAATAGGAGAAAGGCTAGGGAATATGGCAGTAAGCCCAGGCATAGGGGGAGGGGAGAGAGGACTGGGCCGTGGCCTGTCCACAGAAATGGTCCCTGCCCCACAAGGAGTTGAGGCTGTGGCTGCCTTTCCCCACCCTGCCCCTCCAACCTGAGCACCATGGCCATGGCTCTCCCAGAACACAGAGCCATTCCCCAGGCCCTCGGAATGACTGCTCATCACAACCAGCTGCCACTCCATTATCTTGCCCTGACCACATCTCCATCCTTAATCTTCCTCGCTGTCCCCCTTTGTGATGATCTCCTCTGCCCCTAGACCGAATTTCAACAGGTGAGGACAAGGGAGGCAAGTCCTCACCTAGATAAGCCAGGTTCACATGTCCCCTTCCCACTTCCCTAGCTCCCCAGCTATGCCATCTCAGGGTGGCCTCCCCAGGCTCAGTGTAACATTAGCTGATGAGGGGGTGAGAACTGTCTGGCTTGACCTGCCTGGCCTAATGCTGGGCTGGGGGAAGGTGCTGGATTCTTAAGACTGCCCTCAGCCCTTGGTGCTGAAGTCCCAGGGCACACCCTGGTCCCTAGCCTGCACCCCCCGGCCCCACCGACCACCTCTTCTGCACAGATGTGGACGAGTGTGCTGAGGGCAACGGTGGCTGTCAGCAGAGTTGCATCAACATGATGGGCAGCTACGAGTGCCACTGCCGGGAAGGCTTCTTCCTCAGCGACAACCAGCACACCTGCATCCAGCGACCAGAAGGTCAGCTCCTGCCCTGCCCTGCCCTGCCCTACCCAGGCTTCTCAGCCAGTTTGCTTGGGACCTTTCCCTCCTTGCCCACCCCCCCGGTCACCTTCTGTTCTCAACCCAGTCACTTGTCCCTCAGCCTAGTCACTTGTCCCTCAACCCAGTCATACCCTAAGGGCTCCGTGCATACTCTGTATTAGAACAAAATTAGGGAGAATTCATTTTGGGTTGGGGTCAGTGTGGGACTGAGGCTACAGTGGGGTGTCCTCTGTGTCCAGATCTGGGGTATCTGACAGCCCTAACTGGATGGCTGAGCTTAAGCTGCTGCTTTATGTGAGAGGGCTTCATCAATGCCTTATTCCTGGGGTTGGGTTAGGGATCAGGCAGGAACAGTGGGGTACATGTTGTCTGTTTCTGTGTCTCTCACCTGCCCCACTAGACTGTGACCTCTCTGAGGGCAGGAACTATGTCTATTCATTTTTGTATCCCTAGCACCTAACCTAGTGCCTGCATGTAGTGGGAGTTTAATATGTTATCCCATAAAATCCCATAGTACTTATTATCTGTATCCATCATGCCCCACTCACATTATAGATTTGATAATTATTTTATCCTCTTCCCAGTTTGACTGTAAGCTCTTTGAGGGAAGGGACCATGTCTTATATTTTTCTGTGTTTTTCCTAAATCCACTCAGTACCTAGCACAGTGCTGGGCAGCTATTAGACAATTAGATATTTTTTGGTTGTTTGAAGGAGAGAGTGGTTGTGCAGGTGTTCTCTGGGAATGGGTATCAATACCTATTAATCCATCATTCGAAATGGCTGCTGAGTTATGCTTATCAGCACCCAGCTCTGTGAACAGAACAGGAGGCCTGTCAGGGGGAGAGTCGGGCCTCTCCCCATGTGGTAACCTCAGTGGAATTCTCCCAATTTCCTAGGCCCTCAACCACCCCCTTCTAGTCCCCCCTCCTCTATGTGTCCCGGGGCACAGAGCTTTCACCCCCCTCCTCTTCCCTTTTAGAAGGAATGAATTGCATGAACAAGAACCATGGCTGTGCCCACATTTGCCGGGAGACACCCAAGGGGGGCATTGCCTGTGAATGCCGCCCTGGCTTTGAGCTCACCAAGAATCAACGGGACTGTAAATGTGAGCTGGCAGGGATGGCAGGGATGGTGGGGATGGTGGTGGGGGAGAAGGGGCAACAGGAGGGAGGTGGGGCCTCAGCAGCGACAGCACAGGGCTGCGAGGAAAAGGGAGCAGGGGAAGGGCAACTAGCAAAGAGGGCCACCATCCATGTTGTGGAGAACTGTGGTGCCCAGGGAGAAGAAAGCTGATAGGCTCCTGCCCCCTCTGTGCACAGTGACATGCAACTATGGTAATGGTGGCTGCCAGCACACGTGTGATGACACAGAGCAGGGCCCCCGGTGCGGCTGCCACGTCAAGTTTGTGCTTCATACCGACGGGAAGACATGCATCGGTGGGTGTAGCCAGGGGAGAATCTAGTCCACCTGTGATGGGGGTGTGGGTAAGGGACCTTGGGCACGAGGGAGGGGGGCACATGGGGCCCAGGTGCTGGTCACAGAGTGATGGTGAGGGGACTGAAGAGCCAGACAATGCCACGTCTAGTGAGGACAGCTCTGAGAGGGACTGAAGGGTAACCTGGCTCCCTCCCACTCCCCAAACCATTGCTTCTACTGCCCCATGCCTAAGAGCTTCACCCTCCTCTCATCCCAGGAGCTGTTGCCAAACTGAGAATAATTAGCAGAGGTGCCTGTCACCCAAGGCTGTGGTTGAGAAGAGGGAGGAAAGCTGGGAACACACTGGGGACACACGCTGATTCGGCCTGACCACAGGCTCTAGTTGACTAGCAGGGTCAGATGGGAGCTGCCACAGCCCATTGCCCCTACTCTAGGACTGGGGGTGGGGCAGGTAACCTTCTCTGGGACCACCAGCCCTAACCTGGCAGATGGGGTTTTTTGGCTCCAGGTATCTTTTTCCTCTTTATCCTTTGTCTCCTCACTCTCCTCCTCTAAGTCTCCTTTCCACTCCTCTTACTCTAGCCTGCCACTGCCTTCTCTCCACTCAGTTCCAGTGGTACTCTGTCTCAGCTCTGCCTTTAGGCCTCTCACTTCCTTACCAACCCCAGCCTTCCCTTCCGCCCTGATCTGGAGCCCTCTTGACACCTGGTCCCCTTTTCCTGAATTCCTAGGCCTTCCTTCACATATCTTCAGGTACCACAGATGAGATCAACTCCTTAATTCCTGAAGTTTAATTCCGAATTCCCTAAGTCTTTAGCAAAGGCCAATTACTGTGGGCTCCCAGAGTGCTGAGAAAGTTGGCGGGACAAGGTGTCCCTTTGGAGAAATGGGAAATGAAAGGGAAGAGTTAGAAGGCGTGCGTGCTCTCTGGGCATGGGTGTGTATGGACAGCCATCCATCTGGTGGCCTACAACACACCAGGTATGGGAAGGTGTGGAAACAGTCACTCTGTGTGAAATTGTGTACATCAGGGACATGGCACCCAGCTTGAGAACCAGCTGCCCCCCTGCCTTTCCCCACACATAAGAACAGGTGATGCTCGGGGACATGCTCCAGAAACTTGCACACCCGGTTCGAAAGTTCTCCTTTATTTTAATTAAGATCTTTCCTGCTACATGTTTTCCTCTGAGCTAACTCTTCAAAGACCCTGGAACATTTTTAAGTCTTCACATTGTCTGCTCCAGGCTGGTTTGTTCCAGCTCCTTTCATTTTTCCTCATAGGCCTAATTTTTCTGCTTTCTAAACCTCCAGCCACGCCCTGGACACACTCACACGCATCCCCAGAATCTAAAAAAACTGCATGCAGTCCCCAAAGAAAAGCTGCATGGAGCAGGACAGAGCTGGGGGCCCATGGGTGTGAGGCCTGGTCCCTCTCTGGCTTCTTTCTGCTCAAATAGCCCTGGTTATGGCTGCTTTTGAAGATACCCTTATTAAGCTTGAGCTCCCCTCTAACCCAAGACCCATTCCTCCATCTGGGCCGTGGCCAAGTAAGGCAGAACACATTAGGCTCTGCTAGGATTCACAGCAACTTTCTTTCCTAGTTCCTCTCCCTCTTCTCCAATAGAACTTATTTAACCTTCTTGCCTTGTGTAATTTTTCTCGTCAGCCCTGGTGGAAGGAAACGTCATTGTCGGGGGCCATCAGGACATTCAGACTTGGAAGTTTGTGAGGCTTGAGGTTGCATTCCAGCTTTGTGATGGAATGCTTTGTGATATTGGGCCCATGATTCTTCTCTCTGAGACTCAGTTTCCCCTCAGTCACTTGGCGGGAGTCAGGCTTCTTTGAGGACACCAGGCAGAATAAGGCTTGGGAGTGAGGCTGCTGCAGGGGTCCCAGGGCTCCCTGGGGCTAGTGGTTTGGGCCTAAAGGGTGGAGAAGGGGGTGGGGAGGGATCTGGGGCCCCTTGGGCCACAGTGGCTCCTGCCCAGCATCTAAACAGCTTTTTTACAATGTCAAACAGGGGAAAGGCGGCTAGAGCAGCACATCCCCCCTCAGGCCGTTTCTAATGGTAAATATGTCTGCTCTCACCGCTTGCTCTCACTGGCTTGCTAGGGGAAGGGCTAACCCGCTGGGGCTCCCACTAACCGCATGCCCACTGGGCCCACCTGACTGGGCTCCAGCCTGCCAGCAGGGCCCCTGGCAGCCCAGGCACTGGGCCCCCAGGTGACAGAAAGCCTGAGTCCTCAGACACTGGCCCAGAGCTTTCACGTTGGTCTTGTCTTTGTCCTATCACTCTCCTTATCTCCTTCCTTTTTGCTCCCTTCTCCCACCTTCTAACACCCCCACCCCTCCCCAGCCATCTGCCCCTCTCTCTGCCTTTCTGCACAGCCACAGACCCAGCCAGCTCCATGTTACCATCATGCCCACTGTGGCACTTGGGAGAGGGGTGGGATAGGTTAGATACCATCCCCTCCTGGGGGCTTCTTTCTTGGGTTCTTGCCCACATTGGTTCAGTTCTGGCATTACTCACCATTCTCTCCCACCATAATGGCTAAGAGCATGACCTTTGGATTCAGACAGACCTGAGTTTGAATTCTGGCTCTGCCACCTTCTAACTGTATAACCTCAAGCAAGCTGCTTTCCTCTGTGGTCCTCAGTTTACACTTCTGCAAAATAGGGAGAATAACAGTTCTCTTTTAGAAGATTACTGTGATGGTTGAGATAGTGCTTGTAAAGCATCTTGTAAGCGCCTGGCACAGAGAAGGCACAGAGTAGCTGGTGGTTGTTAACACTGTGACCTGGAGAGCAAAGGGCTGTGGGTGTGCCAACCTGCCAGCCCCACCCTGCCCTGGAGAAGGCTGCCCTGAGGGGTTGGCAGCTCTGCCCAGCTTCCTGGTCCAACCCTGGGAGGAACAGCTCTGCTGCTCCCCATCCTGGATCGCTCAGAAGCTACCCAGACTTAAGGCAGGATCTCTGTTCCCCTTGCCATGCCCCAGGGCTTGGGGGGGCCTCTTCTTATGCCAAGCGCAGTCTTAGGGGTGATGGCTGGCCTTGGAGCCTGAATTCGAGGTTCCCTCCCATGTTCCTCCTGTGGCCTTGGGGAATCTCAGGAGAAACTAAGGTGGGAATGACACAGAGGAGATCCCACTGTGGCTACTCCCAAACCTGGGCATTTGAGGGACCAGGGCATGGCCAGGGCTCACAGGCACAGTTGGGGTTCTTGAGGAGGCTGGCCCTGCTGCTCTCCTCAGTGACAAAGGTTGGACCTGCATTTAGAAGTCAGAGATCCCAGAAGACACTAGGACTCTCCAGTGCTTTTTTCATCCAGGTCCCGTTGATTCTGAGAACCACTTTCCTCTCTCCCTCAGCTGAAGCCTCGGGATTTTGTCTCTCTTTGATAGAAGAATTCTAGGCTTCTCCAGAGGACAGTCATCACCTCCCCACAGTGCCTCTGTCAGGGCTGTGCACTACTGCGAGCTGAGGGTTTTCCCTTGGACTCACCTCTCTCTCTCGGGCTACAGTTTAAACCTGTTTTTCTCCTGCTCTGAATTCAGAAAATAAGGAGAGTGACCCATCCACACACCCTCACTCTGACCTCTCAGTCAAAAGCACGCAGCAGAAGGGACTTAACTAAAATAAGGATTTAGGCTTTATCTAGCTTTGAGGTTCTGTAATTCTTCCACCTACATTCTCAAGACCTTCCTCTTCCTCTGGACTCTGCTCCCTTTGCCCCCTCTCCTACCCCAGACAATACCTTGCTATTAGGAAAGTAAACAACAACAAAACAGCCAGCTTATCTCCATCTGGACCAAAAAAAAGGGCTTGGGAAGAGGTGAAGGTAGACATGAAGGGGCCAGGAAATGACTGAGTGTGTGCCAGCTCCCCTGAGGAAGAGCAGTCAGGCTTTGAACTGGGATCTTCTTTAAGACAGCTGGGCAGAGAGAAGGGGGAGATGGATTGATGGCCATCCCCTCAGCTGTCAGGAATCGCCAGCCTCACTCTTCCCAACCCACCTATAGTAAGATGATCCCACCGTGACCCCCTACCCACTAAAGAGGTGGTTGGAGGGAAGACGGAAACTCCTCTCGGCCCTTGTTCCCTGGCAGCCAAAAGCACCCTTGCTTAGCTCCCATCCCTCCCTGCTCTCTCCCCTCTCCACCTCCTCCGCCCCCAGCACATTCCTGCCTGACAGCTCTGGCTTGTACCTGCCTCACTGCTGTCCACCTTGTTTCAATCAAGTAGGGGGCAGGGAAGCGGACTGCTTGGCTGCACTTGTGAGGGGATGGGGGTTGGGAGCCTCCACTTAATGCTCCTTCTAAAGCACAGGCAGGCAGCTGAGGCCTGCCCTCGGGCCTCTGTGGTCTCTACTGCCCTCGAGGTTGGGACCTCTCCAGGCCAATAACACAGTTACCCTCCCCCACCCCCCTAAACAGAGACCTGTGCTGTCAACAACGGGGGCTGCGACAGTAAGTGCCATGATGCAGCTACTGGTGTCCACTGCAGCTGCCCTGTGGGCTTCATGCTGCAGCTGGACAGAAAGACCTGCAAAGGTAAGGGCTGTGCGAGGACAGGAGCGCAGACTTCTGGCAAGGGCTGAGGTCGTGACCAGAAATAGGGTACCTATTACGGGACCATCGCCCTTGACCCCCTGGAGGCTATCCTGATTATAAAGAACAGAGGATGTGCCTAAGGGTTGTCTCCTGTCCACCTTTCCCATCTCCATTCAAGGGGCACAAAAGTCCAGCCAGTTCCTTGGTGCCCCCTCCCCCACCTGACCTTGTTTTCCTTGTTCTTATTCTTATCCTCCTACGGGTCCCTAACCCTCTTGGTTAATGAACCTACCATTCACATTTGTCCCTGGGTCTGGAAAGATATTTGAGTCCTGACTTTGTGTGTGTGCATGAGGTCACACGTGTGTTCCATAACCTTCTTAACTCACATTCCTCAGGCCTTCCCAGTAGGCTCTGGGGAAATGATCTCTTCCCCTAGAAAGGCTGGAATAGCTACAGGGAGAATAGGGTGGCAATTAGGAGCACTGCCACTGGAGCCTGGCTACCTGTGTTCACATCCAGCTCCGCTTCTTACTAACTCTGTGACCACAGGCAAGTTACTTAGTTGCTCTGTGCCTCAGTTTCCCACACTAACAGTGCCTGCTTCATAGGTTTGTTGTGAGGATTACATGAGTTACCACATATAAAGTGCTTAGAACAGAGCTTGGCAAATGGTAAGCATTTTGTGTTAGCTATTAAAACCAAAACCCATTGCCGTCGAGTCGATTCTGACTCATAGCTATTACTATGGTATAATTTCCCACACTGTCCATTCTGTTTCCCCTCCTTTAAGTTAGCCAGGTCTGGGGGATGGATGGGGAGAGGAAAAAGGGAGGGGAGCCATACTGAAAATAATGGTTCCTCAGGTCTGTGTCCCCTGGTCACAAGAAGTGAGGACTGGGAGGAGGACTGGGCTCCTTCTTTGTGTCTTTTGGCTCAACAGCTGCCAGAGGGGGAGGGCTAGGGCAGCAGGTCAGACAGCCAGAGTTGAGAGGTTTCCTGCTGGGAAGGACTGTTGACAGGTATGCTAAGAGTGAAGTGGAAGGCTGCCCTCCCTGCCCCCTTCCCCAAGTAGGGGTGAGTAGCCTGGGTCCTGTCTGCCACCAGCTTGGGGAACTTGACCTCAGGAAGGAAGCAGCTAACCCGCCCCCCTTCCCTTGCTAGTGCTGAAAGCTGCCTCAGGCCTGAGCCTCTCCAGACCTCTCCTGAGTCCAGCCCCCTGCCTGGCCCCCCACCCTCCCCCATCAGCTACCCAGCCTCACTGGCTCTCTTGGAGGTCCTCCCGGCCTGGCCTCTTTCCCAGCTCCTCCTCTCTGAAGGGCTGCCCCTTTCAAGTGAATACCCTTGAATCCCACCTCTCCTCGGCCCCGTCTCAAGGCTCCTGGGACAGGGTTAGGGAGGTGGCAAGGAAAGGATGTACCCTACCTACCAGCCTTTTTGGGAATGGCCATCAGCTGAACAGTAGCCACTGGACTAGGCATGGACTAACCCTACAAGTCAAATGCCCACCTGCTCCCTGCTCCCGGCAATTCCCTGTCCCCTGCTAAGAGGACTTGGTCCCAGAAGAGAGGGTGTTAGTAATGGCCGCAGCCCCCCTGAACAGGGAGGAATGGAGACAGGAGAGTAGAAAGGAGTCAGCGGGGCAGGCCCCGAGCTCTCCTGGTTTTCCCATCTCTGCGAGTGTGGGAGGGATCTTGTCTCCTTGTTTGTTCCCAGCCTTATTACCTTTTGTTTTCTCTATACTTGTGTCCTGGCTTCCCCAGACATAGATGAGTGCCGCCTGAACAATGGGGGCTGTGACCACATTTGCCGCAACACAGTGGGCAGCTTCGAATGCAGCTGCAAGAAGGGCTATAAGCTTCTCATCAACGAGAGGAACTGTCAGGGTGAGTAGACTCAGGCCAAGGGGAAAGCCTTGGGAGAGGTACTTGTGGTAGGAGAGTCTGAGGGACTCCGTGGACACTATGGAGAGTCTCCATAGGCAGTGTCCTGTGCTGCAGATTAGCGGGCCAGCCCCGCGCCGGGGGATATGGCTTGGCAAGGAGGGAGGGATGGATTTTGCCCCAATTCCTATCCTTGGCAGGGTGTTACCTGTATAACCACACATGGTGGCCCTGATCCACAGGCACCAGATCTCTCAGCTCCTGACTCCAAGGACTCCAAGTGGAGGAGTGTGAGGGGATGGGTAGGCATTGCTGAACTGCTGATCCTAGGGCTGAGCCAAGAGTAGGGACTCTGTCAATTTGAGGTGGAGAGCCAAGGCCCGTCACTTGGACCCTTCACCTGAGCGGAAGTCGCAGAGTCAAGTGCCCCAAGACAATTTCAGTGGTTTGAATCCTTCTTTCTTCTAGACATAGATGAGTGTTCCTTTGATCGAACCTGTGACCACATGTGTGTCAACACACCAGGAAGCTTCCAGTGCCTCTGTCATCGTGGCTACCTGCTCTATGGTGTCACCCACTGTGGGGGTAAGCTAGCCAGCTTACACCCCCACCACCCTGGCCCCGTTATGATGAAGTGGAAGGAAGTAAGCTTCTGGAGTCCAGCTGGGAGACCAAGACATCCCCATCAATGCTCCCTTACCCCCATCCTCTGCTCTCAGACTATAGCCCCACAGTCAGTAGGAGCGGAAGAAGTAGGTCAGATTGGCTCCTTCTCAGTCGTTCCTTTAACTATGGCAGAGATAAGGGAGGAGGTTCTAGGTTTGAGCTCTTCTTTGGGGTCAGTTGTCATCTTGAGATAACCACAACTCTAACCAGAAGTCCTCACTTGATGCCCACTCCCTGGTTCTCACCCCTCCCCCCACCACTGCCTGTCTGTGTGCCCCAGATGTGGATGAATGCAGCATCAACCGGGGAGGTTGCCGCTTTGGTTGCATGAACACGCCTGGCAGCTACCAGTGTACCTGCCCAGGAGGCCAGGGCCGGCTACACTGGAACGGCAAGGATTGCACAGGTGGGCAGCACCCTCTGCCGGTCACAGCTGGCACTGCGGTTTTAGGAGGAAGTTGGGGCCGTGGAAGATATGCTGGGGAAGGTTTCAGGTGGACCAGGGTGGAGAATATAGCCAATACGAGTTGGAGACAGGAAGTGCTGGTAAATAATCCTTTCATCAGTCTCTGCGGGTAGAATAACAGCTCTGAGGTAGTCAATTCTCTTCCTTCAGATTACCCAACTGAGGGAGAGGGTGGGAGAGGAATGCCCCCATCTCATCAGGCCTCTCTCCTGTCCCTAGAGCCTGTTAAGTGTCAGGGAAGTCCTGCGGCCTCGAAAGCCATGCTCAGTTGCAGCCGGTCTGGCAAGAAGGACACGTGTGCCCTGAGCTGCCCCTCCCGGGCCCGCTTTTTGCCAGGTATGTGAAGAAGGGTGTGGAGGGCTGGGGAGAGAAGGGAGGAAAGGCTGGCTGTTCAGCCCTTGGATTCTCCAACCAGTAGGGGCTGGGGAGTGATCAGAGCTGTGACAGGCCCTTTCTCTCAGAGTCTGAGAATGGCTTCACTGTGAGCTGTGGCACTCCCAGCCCAAGGGCTGCTCCAGCCCGCACCAGCCCCACGGGGAACAGCACAAACTCCAACCACTGCCATGGTGAGCACCAGCCCAGAGACCGTGTTCTGACCCTACTCCCTTTGTATTCACCCTGTATTTCTCCTCTTCCTTAATCCCCTGGCCTTCTTTTTTCCTGGACTCCATTTTGCTCTGTAAGTCTCCAGCCCTGTTGCCTCCCTCCCTCTGTCCCTAACGTCTGATTCCCTAATCCCACTCCCCAGCCAACCCCCTGGCTTCCTGCCCAATTTCTCAACACCCTCCACAACAGCCACCAGCCACATGGGGCCTGTAGGCTGCGCTGAGCTTCTCCCATCCCTCTAGAGGCTGCAGTGCTGTCGGTTAAACAGCGGGCCTCCTTCAAGATCAAGGACGCCAAGTGCCGTCTGCACCTGCGAAACAAGAGCAAAATGGAGGAGGCCAGCAGGATGCTGGGGCCAGGTCTGGACTGGGCACCCCACCCCAGTGGGCTGTCTAGCCACCAAAACCTTCCCTCCCCTCGGCTCCTCTTCTTAGCAAGATCTCCCCTCTCCCCCCAAAAATCACTGGCACCCTGAACTCTGGACAGAGCAAGGGGGGAAAGCAGTTGCAGGTACAGAGCCCAAGAAAAGACCAGGATATTCCCACATACACTCCAACTAATTAGGATCTGAGACTAAGAGAGGACTGTAAGGTAATTGCAGTCAGGGATCTGGTGAGGTCTCGGTTGGGCAGAGACGTGAGAGCTGGGAGTGAGAATGTTCCCTGACCCAAGGGGTGGCCTTGGGTTGACAAGCCCTTTCTTCTAGGTGGTGCCCCCTGCTCTGACTGCCAGGTCACCTTCATCCACCTCAAGTGTGACTCCTCTCGGAAGGGCAAAGGCCGACGGGCCCGGACCCCTCCAGGCAAGGAGGTCACCCGGCTTACCCTAGAACTTGAGGCAGAGGTCAAAGCTGAAGAAACCACAGGTGGGACTGAGGGCACTGTTGGGAGGAGGGCTGGTAGGGGAGGACCAGGGTGGGGAAACATAGGCCCCAGCATCAAAGGGAGAGGGTAGAGCCTGTACTAGGGACAGATGCTACCTAAGCCAAGCCCAGGAGCTAGTCCCTCTCTTACCATGCCCCTTCTAGCTCCCAACTTTGCTCCCCTAACTCTTGTGCTCACAGCCATTCTTTCATTCTATTCCCTCCCTCACTCATACCACCACTCATCACCAGCTGGCTGTGGGCTGCCCTGCCTCCGACAGAGGATGGAACGGCGGCTGAAAGTGTCCCTCAAGATGCTCAGGAAATCCATCAACCAGGACCGCTTCCTGCTGCGTCTGGCAGGCCTTGATTATGAGCTAGCCCACAAGTCAAGCCCGGTAGCTGGGGAGCGAGCAGAGCTGGTGGAGACCTGTAGGCCTGGGCAGCACCGTGCTGGGGCCAAGTGTGGTAAGGAAGCTTGCTGGGGGGCAGGGGAGCAGGGAGGGCCCAGCTTGGGCCCAGCTCAGAGCAGGACACTTTATGACTTCATTTCCATCTCAAATTGTGAGGCAGCCAGGACCCTCCTGCCCCCCATCCTCCCCACCTGGGTCCCAGGCTGAAATCCAGGACATCAGGCTGGGCCAACAACCCTCCTGCACACGACTTTAGTCCCCATGCCTCCAAGCAGGATTCCATTTGTTCCCTGAGGAAGACATTCTCCCTGAATCTGGGGGAGTGGGAAGGGGAGTGAGAGGCCTGGGTGGTGGGAAATGGGGGCGGGGTGGGTGGCTAGCACGGCCGACTCTCCCTCAGTCAGCTGCCCGCAGGGAACGTATTACCACGGCCAGATGGAGCAGTGTGTGCCATGCCCAGCGGGCACCTTCCAGGAGAGAGAAGGGCAGCTCTCCTGCGACCTTTGCCCTGGGAGTGATGCCCACGGGCCTCTCGGAGCCACCAACATCACCACGTGTGCAGGTGCCAGGGGAATAAACAACACAAGCTGGGGTAGGGTGGGCGCTGGGATGCCCACGGGCATGGGATTTCCCAAAGGGCAGGCCCACACTCCAGGCCACTCTTCTAGTCGACATCCTGTTTGTGTGCCTCTGCTCCCTGAAACTGGGTGAGCCCATGGGGTGACGCAGGACCATCCCCATCAGAGTTTGGCCCTTCCTTCATTGCAGGTCAGTGTCCACCTGGACAACACTCTATAGATGGGTTCAAGCCCTGCCAGCCATGCCCACGTGGTACCTACCAGCCTGAAGCGGGACGGACACTGTGCTTCCCGTGTGGTGGGGGCCTTACCACCAAGCATGAGGGGGCCATCTCCTTCCAGGACTGTGACACCAAAGGTGAGAGGCTACTCACCCCCATGGGGGCTCCCCAACCCCAGCTGATCCCAAATTCTCAAATCCCTAGAACAGACCTGAGTATATCGCCACACCTTCTTTCCCACACTGGGAAAAGCCCAGCTGCCTGACCAAGCACACCATCCTGCTTACAGGACCCATCCTGGCTCGCCACCAATCCCAAGCCTGGAAATGAAGGAATAATTAACAGTCCCACCTACCCCTCTGCACAGAGAGTTGGTGGCCCATTCCTTCCACACCCTAAATGAATTTCTGTATAGGTTCGGCAGTGTGCTCAGTGCTAGAAGGAAAAGGATTGGAACTGTAGCCAACCACTCTGTGAAGTTTATTTTACCCTGGGCTTGAAAAATTCTGGTATGACTGGGAAAGGATGGGACCCCAGAAAGAACTTTGACCCCCTGATTCTCCATGATAAAGTGTATCCTGTCCATCCCATGCCCCAGAACTCCCACCTGACCACCATCCTTGACTCTTGCCTTTCCCCTTCCCTGCAGTCCAGTGCTCTCCTGGGCACTACTACAACACCAGCATCCACCGCTGCATCCGCTGTGCCCTGGGCTCGTACCAGCCAGACTTCCGCCAGAACTTCTGCACCCGCTGTCCAGGCAACACAAGCACGGACTTCGATGGCTCCACCAGTGTGGCCCAATGCAAGAGTATGCAGCAGGCCAGGCTGTGGAAAGGGGGTGGAGAGGCCTGGGAGCAGTGGGTATGGGAAGAAAAGGGTCTTGGGCAAACCAATAGGGTGCAGGGCTGTGGGTGGATGGGCAGGAAAGTCCCACCTTCTACCTCTCCCCTGACCCACTCAATCTCAAGGACAGTTGCTAGGCTGGGCCCTGCAGCGCTCTCTCTCTGGAGCTAGGTAATGGGGGAGGCAGACACAGGTGAAATGACAAAGTACAGAGAAGAGGAAGGAGGGTGGACCCAGAACTTAGAAAGTTCGATGAACTAGAAAGATGGCTGCCCACATGTCTGACTTCCACATCAGAACTCTTCAGTTTCCCCACTGATTTCTGCACTGACTTCCCTCCTCTTTCTTGCTCTATCCACCGGGGCTTGGCTGCAGATCGTCAGTGTGGTGGGGAGCTGGGTGAGTTCACTGGCTATATTGAATCCCCCAACTACCCGGGCAACTACCCAGCCAGCGTGGAGTGCGTCTGGAACATCAACCCCCCACCCAAGCGCAAGATCCTTATCGTGGTACCCGAGATCTTCCTGCCATCTGAGGACGAGTGTGGGGACGTCCTCGTCATGAGAAAGAACTGTGGGTGGCTGCAGAGCTGGGCCAGGGAAAGGGAGTCGAAATCTGGTTGGGAGGGAGAGAGAGAGAAGATGGGCACAGGAAAAATTGGGCCAGTGAAGTTAGGAATCCATGAGGGCAAAATAGTGAGGGAGGTCTTGGAAGGAGGGAAACTAACAAAGGAAGAAAGCAATAAATGGTACATGTTCGGGCAGCAGAGAAGGAGGCCAGCATTGGGGCTAGAACTCCATTGGTGTTACATGTGTCACTTTCCTATCCTAGGATTTTTGCCATTTCATCCATTTAAATGTCAGATTTCTTATACTGTGTGAGTGCCCAGATGTCAAAAAGGAGTTGTAGACCAAACCCAGGGCAGCAGGGGAGGGAGAGAGGGAGGGAGGGAGAGAGGGAGAGAGGGAGAGAGATAGAGAGAGAGAGAGAGAGTGTGTGTGTGCGTGTTTATGGGGTGGGGTTGGGGGAATGGGGAGAGCCTGTCAGTGTGATTCCTTCCCTGCAAGGCCCTCACTCCAGGAGGCCCGGGGTAGCCTGCCTTGCTGTTCTCCTGACCTGCTGCTTGCCTCCCCAGCCTCCCCGTCCTCCATTACCACCTACGAGACCTGCCAGACCTATGAGCGCCCCATTGCCTTCACAGCCCGCTCCAGGAAGCTCTGGATCAACTTCAAGACCAGCGAGGCCAACAGTGCCCGGGGTTTCCAGATCCCCTATGTTACCTATGATGGTGAGCAAAGCCAGGAGAGTCAGGGAGGGGGGTAAGAAAGGAGAGGCTCATGGGCCTTGGGAAGGGGCCAGGGGAGCAGGGAGAGCTCCCACACTTAAGTCCTTCCTTTTGGCTGGCTTTGCAGAGGACTATGAGCAGCTGGTAGAAGACATTGTACGAGATGGCAGGCTCTATGCCTCTGAAAACCACCAGGAGATTTTAAAGGCAAGTGAATATTAACAACAATAATAAAAGCCAGCATTTAATGAGCATGTAACAATGTGCCAGGCCACATGCTAAGTGCTACATGAATATTCTCATTCGATAAACACAGTAAACTCTAGGAGGTAGGTTCTTTCATCATTCCTGCTTTACAGATGAGAGGACTGAGGCACAGAGAGTTAAAAGAACTTGCCTAGTGGTAAAGCTGGGATTGAAGCCCAAGCCCACATAACTGCAGTGCATTCTGGATCCCTAATGTCACTCACACTATGTTACACCTTGGAGAAAACTTGAAAGAGAAAGGGCAGATGAGGAGATGAAATGTCCCTACATCTTCCCAAGACATAATATGGAAAATGAAGCATAGAAAGATGCTTTTGCATAAATTCCTTCCTTCCCTTACTCCATCCCCAGTTCCCACAGAGAAGCAGCAGATCTCACATGGCATTTCTTATAATTAATATATAGATGTCTTTTAGAGATAAAGAAATGTTTCCAATATTGAAGAATGGACTAGACACCCTGAGTCTGTGGATTTCAGTTTGAAAAAATCTTACTTAAGAAACAATAATCCTACTCATAGAATCACCCTTTGTAAAGTATCACTGCACAAAAAGTTTTGTCTTTATTATTAATACAATAATTTTTGTATTATCATAAGACCCATAATGACAAAAATCTCCCAGAACTTTCAGACTTCAAAGAATATAATTTCAATGATGCCTTTCAAACATTTTTTAGGCATCTGAACCCTGATTTCAAATAAAATGTACTGTGGAACTCTAATACATAAAGTCGATGGAAGTGCAGTTCTGATTAAACTGGGAAAGGCTAAAAGCCCCACCTTATTTGAAAATAAGGAACAGTAGTCTGGGAGCCAGGAGATCTGTGTTCTCATTCACAGTGCTTGGCGCCTAGGAGGCCCTCTACACAGCATGCTTCTCTTTCAGACAGAGTGGTCAGGAAAGGCCTCTCCTCTCTGAGGAGAAGAGGCCTAATGAGGTAAAGAGACTAGCTATTAGAAGACCAGAGAAGGGGCATTCCAAGCAAAGGAGCATGCGAGCAGTTTACAGAGTGTTCAAGAACAGGGAGAAGCAATTAAAAAACGGGCAAAGGATATGAAAAGGCACTTCGCCAAAGAAGATATTCAGGTGGCTAACAGACACGTGAAGAAATGCTCACGATCATTAGCCATTAGAGAAATGCAGATCAAAACTACAATGAGATATCTCACCCCAGCAAGGCTAGCATTAATCCAAAAAAACACAAAATAATAAATGATGGAGAGGTTGTGGAGAGACTGGAACACTTATACACTGTTGGTGGGAATGTAAAA